CTGTGGGAGGGCCCACAGCCTGCCCGCTGTTCCAGCATCAATCAATTTATAAATTAAGCCCTGGATGGATTGTTCTATTAATCACGTCTGTATGAAAAAAATCTCATCAACTGTATCTGTCTACCAGGATATACTGTGAATTTCTGAATTCAGGCCGGAATTATGTGTGTATGCAAACTGTGAACACCAACAGAAGCATACACATCAAAGTCCTAGTCAACAAAAGAGACTACAAGTTAAACCATACACAAATGAATAAATCCATTGTGGATAATTTAAGAAAATACTATTTGAGATTGCTGCTACCCCCAATTAGATTCTTTATCACACAGAAACCTCAAGGACACAAAAATTGCACAAAAGTCATGGTGAGAAATTACTCAAAATTTGGCAAAGTCCCAATGGCTTGCAGCCAGCACAGCCTTATAATAAAATGATTATTAGAGCAGATCCACACAAAGTTGGAACTTTTTCAACATCGCCCACGGTTTTGGTTACAGTATATTTTGGGTACACCCTGTGTTTATGGTGTTTCACTAATTTTGCAAGATTGATGACCCAGTAAGTTAGGAAATCTCTAATGAAGTACTAAATCTAACTGAGTAATGAATGAAAGGGAGACATAAATAAACTGAAATATGATTAAAGATGGACTTCATTTTGCTTTTTAAAGTCTAACAAATTAACAAAGATGATTTTTAACATTTATTTAGCCATGAAGCTGGTATGTTTTCAGATTTCCATGTGTCTGAAATGACAAGGTTTATCCAATTCACAATAATATTTTTAATGTTACTTCATTGAGCCCCTACAGAAGCCAACATATTCAACTTTATGAGAGTCTATCATCTGTCCTTATTCAGGAAGTTAAAAGTATTGGATTCTGCATCACAGCTCAGATGCCTTTATTGATAGAGCTCTTAAATAACATTATCATAACTATTGCCCTTTCGTACCACACACATTACCATTTCAATTTATATGTAATCTGCTTCTTTAGATTAATATCTCACTCATAATAAATCATGATGTATTTGACTAGGAGAGTGAAAGTGAGAAGGGAAGGTTGAGTGAGGGCATCTGAAAATAAGGAAAGCAGCAGTAAATCCTTGCCTGTGAATGAACGACAGATCACTGACTTGGAAGAAAGAGAGCAGAGGAGGCATGGGGGGAGGGTGTATTTTAGAAAGCAAGGTGAGGGCAAGGATATGGTCAGCATGGATAAGTGGGTAACAAGTGTGAAAAACTGAGAAATAAAAATTAATCGGGGATAAAAAAAAAAAGATAGTCGCTATAGGGGTGGAGGAGTTGTCACACACACCTGCATCAAGGTGTGAACGGACAGCACGGTTCCCCACCCCCATCTTCCTTTTGTCAACAGTCCTTTACCTCAGCTTCACTCCCTTTGCTTTTCTATTTTTCCTCTGCTCCCCTCTGAGTCAGACAGACCCTGCGGGACTGTAGCATAATCACTTTATTTCCCTGTCGACTGGAACTGCTGTCTGAGTGTACTCTGACAGTGCAGTGCGTTCCCTGCCCCCACAGGGACCACGGTGGCCCAGGTGACAGCCACAGATGCGGATGATCCCATGTTCGGAAACAACGCCAAGCTCCTCTACTCCATCCTGCAGGGGGAGCCCTACTTCTCCGTCGAACCCAAAACTGGTATAACCTCATGATTACTTGTGTGCATAACGGATTTTATTTCTCACTTCAGGATGTTTTACTTGGAATCAGTTTGTCTCAGTTTGAAAGCTTTATTATATACCATTGCAACAACTGGAAGCTTGCGTAACATTTTAGTATGTGATCAACAAACAAATGCATCATTTGTTACCCATGAATGTACACTATGCCTATGACTGCACTCCTCATTTTGTTGAGGTACAAAGGTTAGTCACAGCACCTTCCACCCACAATGCTGAACTTAACTGTGAATGGCTCAGAAAGGCCATCACTGATGTTAAAAAAAATAAAAATGCAAATGGATACAATGTGTAAAAAGTAAAATCTAACTTTTCAGACAGCCCCTTGGTTTTATTGAGCAGTAGTGGTCTACAAGCTGTTCTGCTAATGACCTGTATGGATACATCTCAGGCTGTTTTCTATTTATTTCCACTGTCAAGTGTCTTTATCACAAAAAGTATTATCTTTGATAATACACATTTATTTATGATATAGTTATTCTACTGGCAAATGTGACACAGTATTGACATTACATGTTAATATGATGGCTATTTAAAATAAGGTATTTATGGTTACCCAATTACAAATTAACAAATGTAATCAAATATTATTCGCCAGAGCTACAAAGTGCTATAAAGAAAATATTCAATATATAAAACAATATCTAAATATTAGTAAAAACTGTGGTGGGACACATTTAACACCTATGATGATCTATCTAAATGTATCCACCTCTTAATACAGTAATTATTACATGATGACTTCAGAAACCATCAATAATACACAGAATTGGGGAATAATATGTTGTTGCACCACAGACAGGTATCTCATCTAAACGCCATTATTGAAGCAAGGAACACAATTAACACAATTCAACAAGTTTCCTTCAACTGCAGTAACAGCTGCATCACATACATGTTTACTTACCACATCGATATGGATGTAATGAATTGATGAAAATATAAACATTTGAATAAAATGCATTTTACTCACCAAAAGTTTGGTTACCTGTACAGAAACTCCATCCTCCTTTCTTCCCTCAGTCAGAGTTCAGTTCCTCCTACAGGTCGTTGTTTCTGTTTCACCAATAAGTCATTTTCTTTCACTATGGAAGCTAACACTGAACGTTGAGTCTGTTCTGTTGTTTTCTGCCATATGTTTTAAATCACTTTGGGCCTGAGAAAGCCCGCTCGACATTTATCTTATGCAGGACGCTACATATCCTAGCCAGGACCAGGATGCTTTCTCACCGGCCAATCAAATGACACGAAAATGCTGACATTCTCAAATGCCTGCTTGAAGGCCCTGGTGTCACAAACTCAAAGCTGATTGGTCAAAGCAACAGTTCCATTACAATTTATTTTGAGCTACAGATGCCTGCACTGTTGATTCTGAAGATCGCGAGGCAGATTTCTTTGTTCCTAGCAACACATGATGGTTGAGATATGACCGGATTAAAACTCTAAATAAACATATTCTACTGGAAGCTGCCCAACCAGGAGAAAAACAATGAAATGAAAAGAAGATATTTAAAAATAAAAAAATGGAAAAAATATATTAATACGTGAGTTAGTGGTTTTGATAGCATTTAGGCCAGCAGAAAATGGTTTTACTGGCCCTGATAATCCACCACTGGGTAAAGGTCTATCAAAAACATACTGTAGCAAGCAACTATGCTAAAAGTTGAGTTCATAAATTTGGCATTAAAACAAAATATAAAAAAACTAAATGCCTCTAAATCAGATAAAATACATTCTTTAAATCAACACCTTCACACTTCAAAGGCTTTACTTATTGTAAATTCCTTGCTTTAAAAAAAAGAATAGTATTTATTCCTAAGTAAAATTGTGGATTTTTAAACAAGTGATACTATTAAGTGGTTTTCCACTTGAAGGATCTGTGTTGGCAGCCAAAAGCTAATCAGTCTGATTAAAAAGTTAATACATAAATGTTTAATTAAATAGATCTTTCAAAGAAAAAATATGTAAAATCAATTGACATCTGGTTGGCCTCAGTTTAGAGAAATATAATTTAATTTTTCTGAACTGACAAGCTAGGTGAAAACCAAACGTTTTGCAGCCGTCCTAAAACTCCATTCTCAAAAAGTTTTCTAGCAGTTCATGTAAAGTTATTATATAAGCCTTTACTCTGCTGTCAGTTTCACATTACGTGATAATTTATGTATAATTTTATAGTGTTTTGCAAATGCAAATGGTTCGTGTGACCTTTATAACATTTTTGCTAAAACAGCAGTGTTTTGTGAAACTGACATTGATGTAAGTATTTATATTTAAAAAAAAGAGTTTGCATAAGATGTGCTATGAATTTTGGGGAACTGGAGTTCTAATCTTGACTCCACTCTGATTATCTGATTATCATTATTCATTGTTATTTTTCAAAAATGAGTAATTTTATTTTTTTTTAAAACATTGAACTTTAGGAAAAGTCATGAGCCATGTTTGATATTTCATATTCAAGTTGTTTTTAAAAGGCACATTTTATCTAAGTGGAAAATAAGATGATTCAGTGCTTGATGTTAACCTCCAAAGCAAATAATAAAAAAATAAAAACAATCAGGGTTCTGAAATTATTGACTGCAGCCTTTCTTCAGGCCAGACGGCAGAAGCATTAAGTCATCTCGAAGCCATCTTAACATTTAATTTGGACCTGATTCAATTTGAAAACTTAATGCTTGTTGTGGGTGGTGCTCTTAAAGACCGCTTGAGGCAATTTTGTTTTTCTTACATTTGCTTATTAAAAACATGCACAAAAAACACCCACAGACTTTCTTGCTCTTACATTGATTCCAAATCTCTTTTTTGTCCTCCATTTTTTTACTCTCCTGCAGGGATTATTGTTACATCTTGGCGCGACATGGACCGAGAGGCCCGAGACGAGTACCTGGTGGTGGTGCAGGTGAAGGATATGCTAGGCCTCAGCGGTGGTTACTCCTCCTCCACCACAGTTACCGTCAGCTTGACTGATGTTAATGACAACGGGCCCACATTTCAGCAATGTGAGTCCTCTCAGCGATGCAAACGCTAAGTCGAACACACACTTAGAGAATCAATAAAAGACTACAAAGTGTTGCAGACATCCAGGACATGTTTAATATTATACCTACAAGGTATTTATTTGATCACGCTTCTCTGCTTCGAGTGGGTGGCTCCTGCTTCCAGCGCTGCATTCGACTGTGCAGCCAAAATTAAAAAGCAGACAGTCGAAAAATGAGCGCTAGCGCCGAAAGAGGCAAGAGAGGAGACCGGGACGCTTGGCTCGTCCGCGTGCGCACATGCTCATGTGCCACACGCTGGATGAATTTAATCATTCACACATGAAAGGACATTTGTCATGACCTTTGGAAACAAACCGAGCCTTCTCAGCGATAAACCTAAACGAATGCAGTGGGAAGAAATCAATTCGGTGGCAGAGACAGCAAGGATGAAGCTTTTAACTATTAATGTAACATTCACATTCATTGCAGGTGCTTGTGTCCCGTCTATGTTCAGTGGAAAGGCCCTATAAATATTGGATGGCTACACTTCACTTTGAACTGTGCCCTCTGCTTTGTCACATAATTGCAAATTATTACCAACAGCACTTTTTTTTTTAAGAGCAGCTGGTTGCCTGTTGAGTTCTTCAGCAATGTGGCCGCCGTCCAAACAAGGAGTCACTCCAGACACAATCGCATTTTCTCATCTTCTTATAGAGTTAGGCTTGGATTATATGTGGTTTGCCTCAATTTATCTGTGACTGACACAAATTGACCCCCGACCACAATGTTCTTCCTTTCTTATCAGTTTATACCTTCACCGTATCACCCCACGGGTATCAACAGCTTATTGTCAAGTTTCATAAAGTGCTATGGTGGAGAAACTTTTTATTTATTTCTTGCATTTTTGTTCTCTTTGTACATTGTGATCTAAATGTCTCCTCTCGTGGTAAAGTACCAGATCAATTTTGGAAACGTTCTTGTGCTCTCAGATCTGTATACATTTGCTGTTCCTGAAAATGCACCAGTGGGCACCACAGTGGGCAGAGTTATGGCAGAGGATAGCGACATTGGCATCAATGCCAGAATGACTTACAGCCTGAAGGGTAATCTGGAGGGAAGTTCCACTTTTATCATCGAAACTGACCAGGTGACGCAGGAAGGAGTGCTTCTGCTTGCCAAGGTAAATATGTTTAAAAGGAAAGGTGTAGCATTCCGAGAAAGAACTCATATTGCTCTTTCTTGCTAGAGTTTTGAACTAAAATCATCTTGTGATTAGAAAAGATGGAGTTATAGCTGCTTAGATCAAACTTTGAAAATAATATTATGCCTAATTCCATTACAAGATGTCATTGCTCAGAATACGTGATGTGAATGAGGGTCAACTAATGAACCAAACTGAAGCTCAATATCTGTAAACTGGGCTGAGCATAGCTAATAGAGTTGATTAGCTGTGGCAGCCATCTTGAATAAAACAAACTTTAAATAATAATAAAAATAAGTGCTGTGTGTTGTCATCGTATGTTCCCATACAATGGTGAAATTAGTTCTCTGCATTCAACCCATTGCACATGGGATACACCCAGGTGGAGCAGTGGGCAGCTATGTAGGCACCCGGTCAGCAATTAGGGATTAGGTGTCTTGCTCAGAGACACCACAACATGAGGGAATGGCTGGGGATCAAACATGGGACTTTTGAGTCCCGAGTCGGCTGCCCTGCCTCTACCCCATCTTGGACCTCAATCAGTTGAAAAGGTGTACTGTATTTTTCCGCTTATAAGTCACTGTTTTTTTGCATAATTTGCATGCCCTGTGACTTATTGGCTGATGCAACATATTTATGGATTTTTTTCCCATATTTATAAACCAATTTTTGTCTGAGATGACCATTTTCATTCATTCTGACAAAAAAAAAAAAAAAGAGCAGTACCACTTTCAGCCACTTGACGGCAGCAGAGTAGTAGTAGCAGTAAGGCATGCCGTTGTATCATGTAATAGGTAAACGTGGCTATAATGACAAATTCAAAAAAGTTCAAGACAAAAACAACTGGATTTATTTATTATACCTTTTTTTTTCTTTTTTTTTTTACTTTGTTGAAATTACCATGTCCTGGATGACTAATAATCTTCACCAGCTATTATTAACACAATCAGCTTGCCATACAACCGTTGTTCTGCTTGCTGCTTGGAGGAAGTTAAACCAGCTGCACTGCCCCAGCAAAATGCAGCTAATTTGACCATTAAAGTGCATTTTTTAAGGAATAGCTCAACTGAGACACACCTTTGCTATAATTTTGAGCAAACAAATAAATGTTTTTAGGTGTTCATCTTGTTAAATTTGCACATCGGCTCGTCGTGTGCACGCGTTTACTTCTGCATATCGGGTTTTGAAATGCAGCTGATTTGATCGTCAAAGTGCATTTATTAAGCGAACGTTAGACTGAGACACACATTTACTATAATTCTGAGCAAACAAATAATTGTTCTTAAGTGTTAGTCTTGTTAAATTCTTGTTAAAGTCCTCCCATGCACCCTCCCGCGGCTGCCATTTGGCAGCCCATTGATTTTTGGCATAACCCCGGCACACATTTCCAGGTTGTCAGCGGTGACGCATAACAAATGCGACTCGTCAGCGGTGATGCATAATACATGAGACGTATACGGCGAAGTGACATATTTATGGATTTTTTCCACTTCATTAGACAAATATGGGCTGATGCAACTTATAGGGCGGAGCGAAGTGTACGGCGGAAAATACAGTACATCAGATGTAAATCCATTAATAATTTGCTTAAAGTTTCATTAAAAATGTATTTAAATCTTTTCGTAAAAGACAACGTTGACTCTAAATGATTGATAGCAGCATTTTAAATTAATACGTTGTCCAATCTGTTGGTGCTAAGGCTGTTTGTTGAGGATCAGTCTCTGCTACTACCATGCCAAAGTATTAGGTCAATATCTGTATATTTACAGTATTGCACAATAGTTCAAGAGATATGTTGGTACAACTCACCCCCCGCCCCCACAAACACACAAAGGCAAAAACATTTGTTCTCCCTTTGCCTACTGACAGTGTACAATAATAGTGTTTGTACTTTGTATTTATATCTCATTTCTAGCTCAGTTCCCTTATTAAAAGCAACTTGTTGAGGAATAGTAGAGTTAACAGACAAATATTATTAGATTGTGTTTTTAAGGCTTGTGGCTGAAGCATGGTTGATTTTGCAGCTTGGTCCAAATAAGTTTTTTTGCCCAGGTGGTATCGTTTGTCCTCATTTAGCAGGATCTGTTTTTCTTCCAGCCACAGGTGACAGCCAGGCAGTGAAGCGAATCAAAACAGACTCTTAATCTACTTTGCTGAAAATTCTGAAAAAAGATTTAAAAATTCTGATGAAATCCAGTAAAGAGTGAGTTCAAAGAGTTGAACCAGTTGTAAGTGAACACTTTTAGCAGCAGACACAAGTTGCACGTCGACTTAGTCGAAGTGACACAACGAAATGCACTGCAGCACATTTCTTGTCAAAGGCTGAACCATATTTTAGGTTTTTCACTCTACTGTTTTTATTTATTTATTTTTCTAAGAAAAATGCTTGGAGAAATGCATTGTAATTGTCCAATTTATTAGACAGTCTAAAACTTACTTTTCCTTAACATCTATCTTTTTATATTCAAGTGAAACAAGTAAAAAAAATGAAATAAATAAATGAAATAAACACCAGCTCATAATACAAACACAGACTGTGCCTGTATTATTAGCTTATTATTAGGTTATAGTTTCCCATCTTTGGAAAATAAAACGTTTCACCTACTGCCTAAACCATATTTACATTACTGAAAGCATTACAATGATCAGTATTGTCATTAACTGTTAAGGATCTATTCTAGCTTTAGGACTTAGAACAGGATTTGCTGATTATTAATAATAATAATAATAATAATAATAATAATAATAATAATTATTATTATTATTATTTAAGGGGTTTTCATATCATGCAGGAAAAGAGAGGACACAATGTTGCTGTGTTTGCAACTTTCTTAGAAATCCTTAACTTGTCCAAAAAAAACTAAAAATCAAAATGCTGGTTAAATGCTTTGACCCAAATAAACGCTAGATCTCTTAATTTAGTTACAGTGTATATATACATGTTTCATTCTGTACAAAAAAAAAAATCAAATTGAAGAATAATTAGTTTGTGCAGACGATGGCACAACATGTTGCTGTTTATGATGATTTATAAATAAAGCTTGCAGATCGATGCTGCATGGTGGAGCAGTTAGTTGGTACTGCTTCAGCTTGAATGTCCTGGGTTCAAAACTCAAGCAGGCCATATCTGTGTGGAGTTTACACTTTCTCTGCACAGGAACACAGGTCTAAACAATAAATTATGTGCAATGTACCTTGGATACTACTCTTTTCTTTATATAAACCAACTCATTGTTTTGGGCTTATTTTCATGAAGCTTTATTTTATTTTATTTTTCAAAAGAAACTAGCATAAATTGGAAAGTGATTGAACCACTGGATCCTGAAACACATGTCAATCTTACGTCACTTGCGTCACTTAAGTGGCTGTGTAGTTAGAGCAGTCCTACGCCAATGCGAAAGTGTCCCCTGGGCAAGACACTGAACCCTACATTGTCTCCGATGTGTGCCCCATTGGTGTATGAATGTGATAAATCAGAATAAGCTTTATTAACATTGCACCGAGATACAACGAGAACTTGTACATGCAGTCGTCCGGAAGATGGACGGAGTGCTTGAAGCTGCTGCTGCTCTAGTGCGGCCTCTCTTATCCTTATCAGAATAATAATCTTAGATAGGAAAAGGGGGAGAAACATGAGGGTAGAGTGGTATTACAAAAAAAGATCTTTCACATCTTGTCTATCAGGACACAATTTGAGACATCAACAAAAACTCTAATAGCAAGCACAATTAAAACATGATTACATTTGCATTTGACATCGAGGTGTTGAGATTAGTCTATGAGCGCTTTTCAGATCAGCCACAGTTTCTGAAGATGTTGTTTCAGCCAGCAGTTCTGATAAGCTTGCACAGAACATTCTCCGGCGGGGGGTTAGTATATGTATATAGTACAGTGCTGCATGAATGGATACATGAGGGCACATATTGTGGTGTAAAGTGTTTTTATCTTGATAAGATAGAAAAGTACAGTCCATTTACTTTTTCATTTATTTATTCATTCAATAAAAAAAGAAAGAAACAACACAAATCCATTATAAAAAACATTGAATGTAAAGGGTGCAAAAAGACAAAAATTATATATATATATATATATATATATATATATATATATATATATAT